CCAAGTACCATTCGTCTCCATTCACTCCTATCTACACGCTCACGCACGCTTGCTGGAAGTCCAAGCCCCTTGCCCACAAAACCTCCTTTACCCCCCTCTCTCCAACCCTTTCGAGGATGACCCCTACTCCGCCTTCCTTCCCCTATAGATTTATATGCTTTCCATGTCATTCTACTTTGATCCATTCTCTCTAAATGACCAAACACCTCAACAACCCCTTCTCTGCCCTCTGACTAATACTTTTATTAACTCCACACCTTCTCCTAATTTCCACACTCCGAATTTTCTGCATAATATTTACACCACACATTGCCCTTAAACAGGACATCTCCACTGCCTCCAACCGTCTCCTCGCTACTGCATTTACCACCCAAGCTTCACACCCATATAAGAGTGTTGGTACTACTATACTTTCATACATTCCCTTCTTTGCCTCCATAGATAACGTTTTTTGACTCCACATATACCTCAACGCACCACTCACCTTTTTTCCCTCATCAATTCTATGATTAACCTCATCCTTCATAAATCCATCCGCCGACACATCAACTCCCAAGTATCTGAAAACATTCACTTCTTCCATACTACTCCTCCCCAATTTGATATCCAATTTTTCTTTATCTAAATCATTTGACACCCTCATCACCTTACTCTTTTCTATGTTCACTTTCAACTTTCTACCTTTACACACATTCCCAAACTCATCCACTAACCTTTGCAATTTTTCTTTAGAATCTCCATAAGCACAGTATATCATCAGCAAAAAGTAACTGTGTTAATTCCCATTTTGAATTTGATTCCCCAAAATTTAATCCCACCCCTCTCCCGAACACCCTAGCTTTTTACTTCCTTTACAACCCATCTATAAATATATATAAACAACCATGGTGACATTACACATCCCTGTCTAAGACCTACTTTTACCGGGAAGTAGTCTCCCCTCTTCTACACACCCTAACCTGAGCCTCACTATCCTCATAAAAACTCTTTACAACATTTAATAACTTACCACCTATTCCATATACTTGCAACATCTGCCACATTGCTCCTCTATCCACTCTATCATATGCCTTTTCTAAATCCATAAATGCAATAAAAACTTCCCTACCTTATCTAAATACTGTTCACATATATGCTTCAATGTAAACACTTGATCTACACATCCCTACCCACTCTGAAACCTCCTTGCTCATCCGCAATCCTACATTCTGTCTTACCTCTAATTCTTTCAATTATAACCCTACCATACACTTTTCCTGGTATACTCAATAAGCTTATTCCTCTATAATTTTTACAGTCTCTCTTGTCCCCTTTCCCTTTATATAAAGGGACTATACATGCTCTCCGCCAATCCCTAGGTACCTTCCCTCTTCATACATTTATTAAACAAAAGTACCAACCACTCCAACACTATATCCCCCCCTGCTTTTAACATTTCTGTCATGATCCCATCAGTTCCAGCTGCTTTACCCCCTTTCATTTTACGTAATGCCTCACGTACCTCCCCCACACTTACATTCTGCTCTTCTTCACTCCTAAAAGATGGTATACCTCCCTGACCAGTGCATGAAATTACTACCTCTGTTTCTTCCTTAACATTTAAAAGTTCCTCAAAATATTCTCGCCATCTACCCAATACCTCCATCTCCCCATCTACTAACTCCCCTACTCTGTTTTTAACTGACAAATCCATATTTTCCCTAGGCTTTCTTAACTTGTTTAACTCACTCCAAAATTTTTTCTTATTTTCATTAAAATTTCTTGACAGTGCCTCTCCCACTCTATCATCTGCTCTCCTTTTGCACTCTCTCACCATCTCTTTACCTTTCTTTTACTCTCCATATACTTTGCTCTTCTTATAACACTTCTGCTTTGTAAAAACCTCTCATAAGCTACCTTTTTCTCTTTTATCACACCCTTTACTTCATCATTCCACCAATCACTCCTCTTTCCTCCTGCCCCCACCCTCCTATAACCACAAACTTCTGCCCCACATTCTAATACTGCATTTTTAAAACTATTCCAACCCTCTTCAACCCCCCCACTACTCATCTTTGCACTAGCCCACCTTTCTGCCAATAGTCGCTTATATCTCACCCGAACTTCCTCCTCCCTTAGTTTATACACTTTCACCTCCCTCTTACTTGTTGTTGCCACCTTCCTCTTTTCCCATCTACCTCTTACTCTAACTGTAGCTACAACTAAATAATGATCCGATATATCAGTTGCCCCTCTATAAACATGTACATCCTGGAGCCTACCCATCAACCTTTTATCCACCAATACATAATCTAATAAACTACTTTCATTACGTGCTACATCATACCTTGTATATTTATTTATCCTCTTTTTCATAAAATATGTATTACTTATTACCAAATTTCTTTCTACACATAGCTCAATTAAGGCTCCCCATTTACATTTACCCTGGCACCCCAAATTTACCTACTACTCCCTCCATAACATTTTTACCCACTTTAGCATTGAAATCCCCAACCACCATTACTCTCACACTTGATTCAAAACTCCCCACGCATTCACTCAACATTTCCCAAAATCTCTCTCTCTCCTCTACACTTCTCTCTTCTCCAGGTGCATACACGCTTATTATAACCCACTTTTCACATCCAATCTTTATTTTACTCCACATAATCCTTGAATTTATACATTTGTAGTCCCTCTTTTCCTGCCATAGCTTATCCTTCAACATTATTGCTACTCCTTCTTTAGCTCTAACTCTATTTGAAACCCCTGACCTAATCCCATTTATTCCTCTCCACTGAAACTCTCCCACCCCCTTCAGCTTTGTTTCACTTAAAGCCAGGACATCAGCTTCTTCTCATTCATAACATCCACAATCATCTCTTTCTTATCATCTGCACAACATCCACGCACATTCAGACTTCCCACTTTGACAATTTTCTTCTTCTTATTCTTTTTAGTAATCTTTACAGGAAAGGGGTTACTAGCCCATTGTTCCCGGCATTTTAGTTGACTTTTACAACACGCATGGCTTATGGAGGAAAGATTCTTATTCCACTTCCCCATGGATATAAAAGGAAAATTAATAAGACCAAGAACTATTAAGATAAAAATCAAAGAAAACTCAGATGAGTGTGTATAAATAAATGTGTACATGTATGTATAGTGTGACCTAAGTGTAAGTAGAAGTAGCAAGACATGCCTGTAATCTTGCATATTTATGAGACAGACAAAAGACATCAGCAATCCTACCATCATGTAAAACAATCACAGGCTTTCGTTTTACACTCACTTGACAGGACGGTAGTACCTCCCTGGGTGGTTGCTGTTTACCAACCTACTAATATATTTAATATATTTAATATATTTAATATATATTTAATATATTTAATATATTTATAAATGGGGTTGTAAGAGAAGTAAATGCTAGGGTGTTCGGGAGAGGGGTGAGATTAAATTATGTTGAATTAAATACAAAATGGGAAGTGACAGTTACTTTTTGCTGATGATACTGTGCTTATGGGAGATTCTAAAGAAAAATTGCAAAGGTTAGTGGATGAATAGTGTGTGTGTAAAGGTAGAAAGTTGAAAGTGAACATAGAAAAGAGTAAGGTGATGAGAGTATCAAGTGATTTAGATAAAGAAAAATTGGATATCAAATTGGAGAAGAGGAGTATGGAAGAAGTGAATGTTTTCAGATATTTGGCAGTTGACGTGTCGCGATGGAGTTATGAAGGATGAGGTTAATCATAGAATTGATGAAGGAAAAAAGGTGAGTGGTGCATTGAGGTATATGTGGAGGCAAAAAATGTTATCTATGGAGGTAAAGAAGGGAATGTATGAAAGTATAGTAGTACCAATACTCTTATATGGGTGTGAAGCTTAGGTTGTAAATGCTGCAGCGAGGAGGCGGTTGGAGCAGTGGAGATGTCCTGTCTAAGGGCAATGTGTGGTGTAAATATTATGCAGAAAATTCGGAGTGTGGAAATTAGGAGAAGGTGTGCAGTTAATAAAAGTATTAGCCAGAGGCTGAAGAGGGTTGTTGAGGTGGTTTGATCATTTAGAGAGAATGGATCGAAGTAGAATGACATGGAGTGTGTATAAATCTGAAGGGAAGGAAGGTGGGGTAGAGGTCGTCCTCGAAAAGGTTGGAGGGAGGGGTAAAGGAGGTGTTGTGGCGAGGGTTTGGATTTCAAGCAAGCAAGCGTGCGTGAGCGCATTAGATAGGAGTGAATGGAAGAAATGGTATTTGGGACCTGACGAGCTGTTGGAGTGTGAGCAGGGACAATATTTAGTAGAAGGGATTCAGGGAAAAACCGGTTATTTTATATAACCGGACCTAGTCCTGGAAATGGGAAGTAAATGCCTGCACTCTAAAGGGGGGGTTTGGATAATGGCAGTTCAGAGGGATATATTGTGTATTTTTTATACGTATGTACTTCTAAACTGTTGTATTCTGGCACCTCTGCAAAAACAGTGATTATGTGTGAGTGAGGTGAAAGTGTTGAATGATGAAAGTATTTCTTGAGAAAAAAAAAAAAACATTTAAGATTAGCAAAAGTAGAATACAAATTGATATCATGATTCTGGGGGGTCAGAAGATAAGTGCAGGAAACACTAGGTACAAAATAGAACAGATATTCTGGACACTGTAGGCATGAAAGTGAACGAATCAGTAACTTTTCCCTGACAATTTATCTCAAACAAAAATACTGATGGATGGTTTTATATACCTTATGCCAACCTGTACAAATTGAATGAACATATTCAGTTTTATAAAGTTAGTTCATATGATCCAATCCATTTAGTTAGTATTTGAATGAATGAATATACTGTATATCAAAATTATTTAAGGATTTCAGTACACACTAGGCATTAATTAAGTTTATATAGTACAGAGAAATTAGCAAGTTGTAGATCAAATTTTATGCACGTAAAGTACTCCTTTGAATGCAAGTACGCTGACAACTAGCTACAGCAAGCCTCTACTGAACTCATTAATGCCTACATGATTAATATCAAATTCACCATAATTAATGCTTACAATTTCTTTCATCTACTTTCAAGTACTTGTCACAAAGTGCTAGTTCAGCTGTCCAAGGTGGCGAGGAGAAGTTTTCCATTACCCAGCAGCGGTGGTGCCATGCTCCATAACTTTTGTGATTCTTCATTAGACAATTTTCTACCATTGTCATTTCCCCAGTAAGACTTTTCTCCCATGACTCTTGATCTTCTCTGAAAGCAGTATCATCAGTTAATCATAATGTTATGATCTCATAATATTTATTAATAACATAGTGAAGCAAAAATCTTTCCAGAAGCAAAGTACTTGATGAGCAAAGCTTATTGCTCATAACATAAGCAGTAACCAACAATACCAAGTACAGCATTTAGTCCAGAATTCTACAAGGTTTGGTCAGAGGAAATACAGGCAGTGTATACAGTGAAACAGTGAATGTAGTACAGATACTTAAAACATTTATGTAAAAGATCCCTTCCTACAATGGTCATCTCCCACTGAGGCAGGATGACCCAAAAAGAAGGTTCTTTTTACATTTGGTAATAAAATGAGTATATATCCAATATAAAAAGAAGAGTGTTAATATCTGAATACAGTATCTGATGAACATCAAAATGGTATACAATACCGACAGGTTGGTAGGTAAGACACACAGGCAACAGTTAAGCAACGACTTCAAGGGTGATGGACTGATTACATCGTCTTCACATCTCTACTGTTCCTGTCTACTTTCTGTATTTGACCGAAGAAGCCTACTGTGTAGGCGAAACGTTTCGGAATAAAGTTGCCTAACTGTTGCCTATGTGTCTTACCTACCCACAGTATCTGATACACCACTAACCCCTTCATGGCTAAGAGAATCTCTCGCCGAAAGTTCCAAAGTGTGCTAACATCTGGGTTTACTATTAAAAGCTGTGCAGTTATCTTCAGTCCTTCTTCATCGTGAATTCCTGATGTTCTCTGAAATACAGTAAATAATTATCACAATCAGATGTTTCTAACTAGTAAAAGTATTTTAAATCTATCACTCCAAGAATAATAGCTTGGTAAACACATTCAAGCAATAGCATCAAGAGTAGGTATTCAGAGTTCACAATGAAAGGGAAAAAAAGTTAGCAATAATGCAAAATATACAGAACTCGCTCTTCTTTCAACTCTTAGATTGCACTTTACCTTTGCAAAAGCCTTTGTGAGTCCTGCAAGATATAACTTCCTTTTTTCTGCCCTCTCTTTCTGCTTCTCTGCTGCTTGCTCAGCTGTTGTCTTTATTTTCAAACGTCCATGCTGTGAGGAATATAATTTAAAGAAACTAGAATTAGTTCTACAAAGAAGTCAATTGACCTAAAAAAGACCTGAGAAGAAATGAACCTGTTAGGCTTTCTGGGTTCATACTTAACCTCCTGTGTTACCATAACTATTATTATTATTATTATTATTATTATTTGAAGTGCACTAACTCCTATGAATAATAAGAATAGTTAAATTTTTCTATAAATAGTCATAATTGGCTATAAGTACCCATCGGATGAAGAATTTTATCCAGATTATTAATTTGGATGGTTAGTAACCTAATCATTATCACTCATTATTTATTATCCTAATAATAAATATGTTGAACTCAATACCACAGTTATACATTCATTAATTATTCATCAAAGACACTAAGGATATCAGAAAGCCACTGGGTTAAATTCTGCACTTTCTTGGGTTATCCTGGGTGGCTGGCCATCAGAAACAATAAAACAACTTTATTTCTCTGTGTAGTATACAGTGTAGTTTACATGTTAAAAATCCCAACAAATTTGATCTTAACCCCCAGTAACAAAAATTAAAATTTATTACTATATAATACACAGATAAAATACTCCCATTATGAAGTGTTTATTTACAACTCAATATACAATTTTAATCTTTTACAGTGGTTTTGCATAGTAAATTATATAAAGGGGAACCCACCATTTAATACAATTTTGATCTGGATTAATGCAGTACAAAAGTAATGTAATTTGCATGTAATCAAACAATGATAAGTACAAAAGAAAGAATAACAATCATATGAAGATAAGTCGGCTTTCATAACATTACTCATCAAAATTCCTAATGTTTGCAGTCCCTTCATAACTATGATAGATCACCGTTGTTAAGAGTGTAACAGTAACATCTTATAGGAGTAAATATGTTGAAAACTGTGAGAGAGATGGAAAAAGTTACCATTGTATAAGTTGTTGAGAGCAGCTGGGAGACACACCCGGCTGTTGTTGGTGTTCTTAAGGGACTCTAAAACTTGGCAATTATTGCGCGAATTATAATTCAAACATTGTTTCCTGGAATAATAAATAAGTTTATTTAGGCACAAGTACACACAAGTACAGTTATCATATATAGTGTAAATTACCTAGAATAATTCCCCCCAAAAGTCTAAGTGACTTATTCCCACTGGAGTCCACAATGGCAATAAGTCACTAACCTTATTTTAGTGGGAGTTATTATAGGCAATTTACACATATGTTACTAATAAGATATTAATAATAAGATATATGAAATATTAAAGTTTTATCCACATTTTGTATCGACTAGATAAATAATTTTCACAAACAGGATCGCAAGTTAGGTAAGGTCTGCCCGGTGAGGCTGGACAATATTACGATATATTCCCATGACACCTGCTGTCCATGTTCACCCATCAGTATAAAATGGGTACCTGGGTGTTAATGGACTGGTGTGGGTCGCATCCTGGGACAAAATTTACCTAATTTACCCGAAATGCTCAGCATAACAAGCAACTTTTTATATAGTAGTATGTCATTGATGTCAGCTAGGACTGTATACCTTGTACATGTACTTGTAGAAATAAAGATATTATATTAACAAGAGAAGTGTTTCTTGACGAAGGTTTTACTCATGACGACCCGCAGCTGGAGCTGTAGATCATCTGACCGAGGCCTTCCGCTGGCTTACCGGTCCACCCTATAAAAAGTATGGTTATAATTATAACCAGTTACTACTCACAGGATAAGTATGGGTGCATAATAAATATTTTAAACTAACTTTTGTAATTAACTTTTATGGTGTGTATAATAGATTTTAATAATCCATATTTTTTTAATGCAAATCAAGTATTTAATAAAAATATTACAGGAATAAATATTATTTTTCACTTACCAAGCTTTATATATTTTTACAAGACCGATTGTCTAACTCATTCATTAATGAACACTTTTGTTTAAATCATATAAATACAGTAAATTATTAAATTTGTCCTTAAATATAATCTGGAAGAATAAATGGACCTACAGCTTTAGCGCTCCCCGTGATAATAATAATAATAATAATAATAATAATAATAATAATGAAAGAATAAATTATATATTTTGTTAATGGCATTAACATATCATCCTAAATTTTGTATAATTTATTTAAAACCATTGTAAGAAGTTTAAAATTATGAGATCTAAAATGATGTACACCATGCCCAGCCCTTCTAGGGCAGGGTAGGTGCCTGAGCCAGAGCTTGCAGCTCACAAGCCTGTCATTCCCATTAGCCTCCTTGGTGCGGGGATGGCAGACCAGAGAGGCCTAGCTTCTTACTAGAAGTTAGGCCTGGGGACAGTTGGTCCCAAAGATGAGGGGGTACTTGTGCCTCCTCCCATGGGAGACTTAGGTCTCAGACACTCCCTAGAGAGGGAGCCAAGGCCGGGCCGGGAGAATACCGGCGAATCTTTAATAATAATAATAATGAGATCTAAATAAAAATTATTGTCTCTGAGCCATACACTTGACCGTGTTACAACGGGAACTGGTTGATTAGTAGGGGTTTAAGGACTAATATAATGATTCAAGTAAACTCTGCATACATACACAGAAATACACTTTTTTTGTGTGTATATATTGTCAAGGAGAACAAAGTTATGTTCGTCATTATGTTAAGGGAAGTAATGTATAATAATAATATTGATTGCCGTCTGTTTTTTTTTTTTTTTTTTTTTTGAGAGAGAAAGAGAGGCAGGTGAGTCAGTGGCCTCTGAATATAAAGAATACGCAAGTTGATAAGAGTTAAAAGTTACGGAAGAAAGTATACAGAATATACAAAGAACTTTTACTGCACGTATAAGTACAATAAAGCACCTAAATTACTTGGAAAATCTTAGATGGATTAGTCCCAAATCTGCACACGGAAATAACTCCCTACACAAGCAAGACTCGGCAGGAGATATAACATCTCACAGCTAACACCAGAGGAGCCACGAGTACCCTAAAGGCAACACACTAAGTGTCAGGGGCCCAAGATTGTTCAACTGCCTCCCAGCATACATAAGGGAGATTACCAATAGACCCCCCCTGGATGTCTTCAAGTAGACAATGGACAGGCACCTAAAGCTGGTGCCTGATCAGCCGGGCTGTGGCTCGTACATCTATCTGCGTACGACCAGCAGTAACAGCCTGGTTGACCAGGTCCTGATCCACTACGAGGCCTGATCATGGACCGGGCCGCGGGGGCGTTGACCCCCAAATACCCTTCAGGTAAATCAAGTATTATATGTTGTGCATCGTGCGAGTGTCCTGAACTATGTGACATTTCAAAAGGTTGGAGCCAAAGCTATATTTACCTCGTACATTTTTTAATTGCATCAAGTTCAAGCTGAATCTTGATGTTCCTTCCACAGCACCCTTGATGCTGACCAACCACTCTTGATCCAAGGAACTTGAGCTAGCCTCCTTTTTGTTAAATTAATCACTGCCGTTCTTCAATACGTGATCCCCATGGGTAAAAAAAAAAAAATGGCAGATTCACCAATAATAGCAAGTAATATTTTAATGATATGTATAATATACAGTATTCATATATGAGAGACACGAGAAGTATCTATTCTGTACATACGACAGGGTAAAATAAGTTTATTCAGGTATACACAAGTACAGTTACATAGATTATCATACATAGCAGCAGATGTGTCAAGTACCTGGGATAACCCAAGAAAAAGTCAGAGTGACTTGTTTCCATTGGGTATATACCTTGCATTGTACAATGAAAAATGTATGTAGAGATGTCTTATATACACCTTTACCAATACAGGGTTTGTACACATCTTATGAGAATGAGAATATTTCGACTGTCTCCACAGTCAATGTGTATTTCGGACTTGTGCTATCTTTGTGAAAACAGTTGTCACGCATCACCCGTACTTCACAAAAATCTATAGTAAACACCTTTATTATTATGTCCACTAATTACTTGTAATTTAGAAGTTTGATATATATATAGTTACATAATATGGAAAAGGGCGTACATACATTTAAATTTATATTTAATGTAGGTGAAGGTTACGAGATGTGGCAACGTCGGTGACTCTGCCGGTGTCGCAGTCTGCTCTGAGGTGTCAAAGACAGTCCATCGAGTCCTGTTTTAAAATGTTTTCCAGACTTGCAAGACCCAGACAGCCAGCACTCTTGGCCAGTTAGCCAAGAACTTCTCCACTAGCAATGTGGTAAGATAAACCAAACTATTTAAATCAGTTCTAATTGAAAATAATGGTGGTGGAGGACTTGCCCTTATCGATTGCATTATTGCAATAAGACTTTATACAAACAATATACATTTATTTAGGTGTGTAAGTCACATGCAGTTATAATAAAACATATAAATAATTTTGTAGTTTAAGTCTACGTATTGAGAAAATGACTTAACCTAGGATATTACAGTTCTTAAGATATTGAATTTGGCATTTTGTAGTTTAGCTGCTGTATAGCCCTTGTGGTTTAGCGCTTCTTTTTATTATAATAATGTAGTTAGCTCTACAGGTACAGTCTACCTACTCAGGTAGGTAGGTAGACCGTACCTGTGTAATGTAGGTGTTCATGGCTTGGTTGGTAGAGTACTCAGCTCACACAATAAGGGTCCAGGATAGTTTCCCGGCAAGGGTGAAATGTTTTCCTCACACCTGCTGTCTCTGTTCACCTAACAGTAAGTAGGTACCTGGTGTTAGTCCACTGTTGTGGGTTGCAACCTGGGGGCCACGATTGCTGTAAGTTGACAGAAATGCTCTGTATAATCAGGGGTTTTCTATATGTTATGTTGGTTATGTCACCTAGGACTGTATAGGTTGTATCATGTGCCTCTGGCTCAGTTGGTAGCGCACTCGGCTCACATACCGAGTGTCCGTGGTTCGATCCTCGCCGAGTGGAAATGGCATTGTTTCCTTACACTTGCTGTCCCTGTTCACCCACTGGTAAGTAGATGTGGGTGGCATCCTGGGGGAGGGTAGTAATCCTTAGATAGGGCTGGGCTTTGAAGTGAGCTGAGGTAGGATAACAACTCTTAGCCTATAAAACTGATGTGTAACAAAAATATATTACATATGGTGTAAATTTAAACTACAAGATTAAATTTCTGGTACTACATTACTGGTGAAAACTGGAATTTATGCTATTTGCATATTATAATAAAAAAAAAAGCGCTAACCACAAGATCCATACAGCGCTGCCTATGCTATTTGCAGTGTTCAAAATGCTGTATATCTTTCACTGATTTACCAGTCCTGTTGCATTTATATTAACAATGGTCGCATTAAGAACCTTAGAGCCATTCGGTTGTTAAAAGTCAAGGAAATGTAATCCAGATCAATAATTTCTTAAATCTTAAAATTTAAAGACTTCTTTGGCAATAAGGCAAACTGATATTTTGGGGTTATCCTAGGTTATGTAATTGGTTTGAATAGTATTATTAACCCAGAAAGTTAGCAACTCAAGATAAAATAAAACAAAAAAAAAAAAAAGGCAAGGCTTGTTTCCACTTGGGTCCTTTGATCCTTTTACCCAGGATGCACCCCACAAAAGTTGGCTAACTTCCAGGTTCCTACTTATTGCTAGGTAAAAGGGGCAGCAGGTGTAGAAATATGACCAGCTCATTCTGGGATTGATTCTAAGCCTTCAGATGTGAGCTGAAGGCACTAATCACATGACCCATGAGTCACCAGTGCTATCTTTGTACCTATAACCTCTTGAGGGAGGCTCCTGGACACCAGTGAAGGGTTCGATCCAGTGAATGGTACCTGATGTCTCCTTTGTTGGATCAAGACTTAGTTTTCCATTTGCTCAGGTACTATATAACCTTAGGGGTTTGTTCTCCCCTTTCCCTCATAAATATAACAATATATAATTTGTCTAAACAATTGTATATTGTATTCAATTTTTCACTGTAGTATAGTGAATCTAAATAATATTTATCTTTGACTGAAGCTAAATAAGGAAAGAAGTATGCAAGTTTATTTAGGTACAGGTACACATAAGTAAAATTATCATACATAATTTAACATGTGTGTAAACTGCCTAATTAATGAAGCTGCAGAAAGGGAGGAAAGCACTTTTATATATATTGTAGACTTGTACCAAGCAGAATGTATACCAGACGAATTTTCCCATAAGAAATATAGGGAAAACGATTAATCCGTTCCAATGAAAAAAAAATCCTATTTTTATTGGCATATTATACATTGATGGGGTTGTAGAAAATAATTTAAACACTGCTTAATATAAAATATGTAATTTAAACACTGCTTAATACTAAAATACGTACATATATAAATACAAAAGAATTCGATAAAACAAATGCAAATTTAGCCTCGGTTTGCTTTGCTGAAGAGAGTCGAGTGCCTCCTAGGATAGTGCTGAGAAGGGAGGAGGAGGAAATGTTATTGTTTGGAAGGAGAGTCCCCTTCTCTTTTCTGTCTCATTTTCCCTATTTGGACCTGGTTGAAGCTCACCAGGTTTGACTTTTACTAAAATTCTGTCTAAAGAACTTTGCTTCTGCCTTCTCCAAAACAGGCCTGTTTCGTCAGTTAAAAACTTGTTGGGGAACAAAACCCTCAGCCTCCACAAATTCCCCAAACTCTGTAACAAAATCATTGGTGGCATCTTTATCAGCACTGGCTCCCTCTCCATGCCTCTCAACACTGAATGCCAGTCCTTTCCTTAAAATTATCAAACCAGCCATGGCTGACTTTAAACACTTCACTTTCTTGGCTTGTTCCTGCCTTATTTTTCAAAAGATTGGCATGCATCAGCTTGCCTTTTCGCAAATCATTGCCTCTGATATGCTATCGTATACAGTATGCAGCAGCCAAGTCTCGGATACGCATGCCACCTTCATACTTGTCAACAATCTCTTTTTCACCTCCATGGTGATCCTAACCATTTTCTTCGTTGCTTGGCTCTTCTCATTAACTTTCTTAGAATTTGTGGGTTAATGAATTTACTACTAAAAATTTATACGAAAAAACACAATCGCGTGAAAATTCAGTTAGTGCGGGTTGTTCACAGAGTGTTAGTAACGGGCGTACTGACACTAGTGGGCAGTCGTGGCTTTGTCTCGAAAGCGGGATAAACAAGGGTAGCATGCGGTGTTGACTCATTTTGACCCAAAGAAGTTCTAGTATGCCAGTTGTATTCCAAACAAAGGCTGTATACCAAGCAAGTTTTCACATCCAAACAGGATATATATCATGTTGGACTTATTCCAAAGCAGACATATACCAAGGTACTACTGTACTGTATTGTAACTAACTGAACATAGTTTCCTTCCCACTCCACCTCCAGAGTCGGTTCAGTGATCTTTCCAGATTCACTTCGATATTAGCTTTTTGATACGTATTTTATTTTGATAAAAATGTACACAAGCATACACTGATGTTTAATACTCTAATAAGCCAATTGTTATATACAGGTTAACAGGAAAGTTGGAGTAATGGGTGCCAGTGGAGGCATCGGTCAGCCACTTTCACTCTTGTTAAAGAACTCTCCACTGGTGACTGAGCTCTCCCTTTATGATATTGTACACACACCAGGAGTTGCAGCTGATCTCTCTCACATTGAGTCTCCAGCCAAGGTCACTGGCTATGTTGGACCTGACCAGCTTGCTGTAAGTTATATATATGCTTTATAGTTGGCAAAAATTTACACATTTTACATTTCAACAGTGATGCATTTACTGTTTTTAACAAATCTGCTTAAATCTGTTGTGTAAATTTAAAATATTTTTACCACCTTCCTTGTATTAATTATATGCATTAATCAGTGGATATAGGTATGATTCTCACTGACTTAAAGTAAAGGAATAATGTTTTGCAGGACTCTCTGAAAGGATGCGAGGTAGTAGTGGTTCCTGCTGGAGTGCCCCGCAAGCCTGGCATGACCCGTGATGACCTGTTCAACACAAATGCTTCCATTGTTGCCAATCTTGCTAAGGCCTGTGCAGAGAACTGCCCCAAGGCTATGATTTGTATAATCTCTAACCCTGTAAGTTTAAACTGAATTATTTGGCTAAATTTTGTTTAAAAGTGGTAATTATAAAACTGAAATTTTATTTTCTTCATACACTATTTTTATTAAGGTGAAAAATACATAGGCAACACTCTTTAAAAATTTTTATTATTGGTTTAATAAACTAATAAGACAACCATATTGCTGTGCTCTGCCCTCTTGGGTTATTTTCATGGAAAATGCTGAACCCAGGATACTCATACAATGCATACATTTCACAAGCCTTCCCTTTTAATACAAGAGTCACTCTTAACTTTTTAATATACTCTATTGATTTACTCCTAACTTTTGTTCACGATCTACACTTACTTTGTGCCCTCTAACAGTAGAAGCCTTTTGCAATTCAGTGTTGAATAATTTTTAGTGCTTGATGTAAATGTAACAAGTTCCATAATTTTTTGTATTAACAATTTATTTTATTCCACATATTTTGAAGACTCAATCAAAACAAAAATGATTTTTTTTTTTTTTTAGGTAAACAGCACAGTGCCAATAGCAGCAGAGGTATACAAGAAGGCTGGTGTTGATACCGGCCGCATTTTTGGAGTTACCACTCTTGACATTGTTCGAGCAAACACATTTGTTGCAGAACTTAAGGTATTACCGCATTCTTCTATCTTAAGTTTAGCGTATCAGTGTTGCAGATACATATATTTTAGTCTAATAGGCATAGTACATTTTTTTTGTACTTTAACCTATTGTGTACATGTATATAATTATTAATCTCTTGTTTGATATGTAGGGTTTAAACCCCAGCACAGTGAATGTACCCGTTATTGGTGGCCATGCAGGCATCACAATCATCCCCCTCATCTCTCAAGCCACACCTTCAGTATCATTCCCAGAAGACCAGCTCAAGGCACTCACTGAAAGGATTCAGGTGTGTATATCTGAGCAAATGTTTTAAAGCTTATTAAATTTTATTGTAGGCTCAGATTGATCAGATATCTTTATTTGATCTTGACTGTAAATGTTTTTATCGGGTAAGGGTGATGTAAATGTAGTGTATGCATTTTGCTTATAAAACTGCAAAATTGTTAATATAAGCTCAGTTTGTAAGCTCTGGATAAATCAGAATATAGGAAACAAGTACATATTAACATTATTTAGTACATATTTCTAGTGTTTATATTCAAATACCCAGGATGCTGGCACTGAAGTAGTAAAGGCAAAAGCTGGAGCTGGCTCGGCAACTCTGTCTATGGCATATGCTGGTGCCCGCTTTGCATTCTCCATGATACGTGCCATGAATGGAGAGGCTGGTGTCGTGGAATGTGCCTTTATCAGGTTGGTATTGACTTTGTTACAGCTGGTTTAACATAGTTTGTGTTTATTTTATTGTACATTACATGTTACGATATTTAAGATTTCAGTACATCTTTTTTTTTTTTATAGATCTAATGTGACAGAAGCTGCTTACTTCTCAACACCACTCGTTTTGGGTCCTAATGGCCTGGAGAAGAACCTAGGTCTTGGAAAATTGACACCATTTGAAAGCAAGCTTATAGAGAATGCAATTGCAGAGTTGAAAGGTAGTATCAAGAAAGGTGAAGATTTTGTTGCTGCCTTGTAAACTTGCGCTCTTATTTTTTATTGTAAATTGAATTTATGTATATTAAATTTTTTTATCTTTAAAGATATCTCAGCTTTACACGTAATTGAATTTAATAGAAATATTCACTGGTTACATTGTTTATATAATTTGTATATGAAGATTTATGAGGACCCTGGTGTGAACTTATGGTACAGAAGCACAACTGCATATAGAATATTCAGCTTCTTACATAGGCATTGTATTTACTGTATATCTTTACATGGCATAGATTACCCCCGGCTTCACTTTAAGGAAGATCTTTTGAGGTTGTAAATATAATGTTTTGTTGACAATAAAAGAAAGAAAAGATGTTTTTTTCATATCCAGAAAACTTGAGAAACAAGAAAAATCAGTTCAAGAAAATAAGCAGATATCTGTGGCTGTTTTTTCTGACAATTTTTTTTTTTCATTACACATACTTGGCAACTGCATTATTTAACATCTCAAGTGGACTTATAGTTTGTAGTTTATTAAAAAGAACACAGTGCATATTACACTACAGCAGTCACCTTCTACCATGGACATCAAACTAAATAGTTGATAATTTTGCCCTTAAAAATCCTCTTCAAGGGGGGCTCCTTGTCGCAGTGAAGAGGCTATTGGTCTGAGGAATCAGACCTGTCGGTCTCCTTCCTCAGACCGAACCTAATTACCCCCCAATTCCCTCTTCCCTATCCCATCCTCCCCTTTTTCCTTTCCTCCTCCTCCTCCTCCTCCCCACCCCTCCCTTTTGCCCTTCCTCTTTTTGGCCTTTGGGATTTCTCCCACAGGTGCGCTAGTTCCTAGGTTGGGGAAAGGATACCGGGGTCCATTCCATTCCGTTGAGGTTCTTGGCGGTGGCGTAGTTTGCCGTGGAATCTGGATCGCCTGGGGATGTCCCGATCCCTCTCCAGCATCCCGGAGTGTAGCTTTGGGTGTCTTTCGAGTGATGGGTGTATCTCTGGAAGCCACCTTCCGGATTCCAGGAGTGGTGGCCGAAGGAGGTATGCTTTGTGGCAGATACCCGGCCGCCCTCTCTTTTGTCCACCGAGGTAGCTCGGCAGATGTGAGGTTGCTATCCCAGATTGCTGGTTTACTGGCATGAAGGGTAGGGTATGGCACGGGTTCCATGCTGCATCTGCGCTACTAGCGGTGCTGAGGTCCTCTTGGGCGCGGAGGGAGATTTCCGGCCCTTTCATTCCTCCTGGGAACTATTCCTCCCCGCTCCCCCCTTTTTTTAATTTTTCTTTTTTCTTTTTTTTTCTTAAAAACAAAAAGCAAAGGAGTAACCTAACCATGGAGAACCCAATCCATGAACCCACTACCCCCAGGCCCCTTTTGATACCGCACCCCATTCTGACCCTGCCTTGTTTTTAGACCACTTCGGACACTCCTGATGCCCCTGTACCTCTTGCTGGTGCTGTTTCCTCACCCGCTTCAGGTACCGGGGCTTGGACTGACTCCTTCGATTTGTCTGACCTCCGCTCTCCTTTGACTATGCTTCCGGCCTCTCCCTCTACGGTACGGCAATTTTCAAATCGCCAGCCTGTTTCACGCCGGACCAACTTCGGTCCTACTCCTAAACGCCAACGTCAACCTCCTGATGATGCTCCTTCGTTACCTTCCCATCCTACTCGGAAAAGACCGACACGTCATGCACTCCCTCTCCATGCTGTTTCGCACCACACAATGGACTAAATTCTTTACTTTAAGACCGACTTCTTCTGCCTATCTTTCTGACCATAGTATTGGCAAAGCGCTCCTGCGTCATGTTGGTAGAGATACAGTGGACCCCCGCATAACGATGGCATCGCATAGCGATTTTTCCGCATAACGATTACTTTTATCGCAAAATTTTTGCCGCGCATACCGATTAAAAACCCGCATACCGATTTTCGTCCGAGACGCGTCCAATGTGCCCTCAGCCAGCCTCACATGTGCCGCTCCGTCCCATTGTTTACCAGCCAGCCTCCGCGGTAACATCCAAGCATACACTCGGAATATTTCGTATTATTACAGTATTTTCGGTGCTGTTTCTGGAAAATAAGTGACCATGGGCCCAAGAAAGCTTCTAGTGCCAACCCTGTGGTAAAAAGGGTGAGAATTAGTATGGAAATTAAGAAAGATTTTGAAGGGTTTGGGGCTAACCCTGAGAAGCCTATGCCAGTTGTGGAATCCACTGTGCCTACTTCAGAGATTAAGGAAATGTGTGCACAGTGGGTTGAACTGCAAACCTTTATAGATGAAAATCACCCTGACACAGCTGTTGCAAGCCGTGCTGGTGACTATTTCAATGACAATGTTAATGGCCCATTTTAGACAAATCGTAAAGGAACGGGAGGTACAGAGCTCTATGGACAGATTTGTTGTGCGACAGAGGTCCAGTGACTCTCAAGCTGGTCCTAGTGGCATTAAAAGAAGGGAAGTAACCCCGGAAAAGGACTTGCTACCTCAAGTCGTAAGGGGAAGGGGATTCCCCTTCTAAACAGTAAGAAGATAATGCTCTCCCCTCCTCCCATCCCATCAATCATCACCAGATCTTCAATAAAAGTAAGTGTCATTTAATTGTGCATGCCTTTTTCAGTTTGTGTGTATTAAAATTAACATTTCATGTGGTAAAAAAAATTTTTTTTCATACTTTTGGCCGTCTTGCACGGATTAATTTTATTTCCATTATTTCTTATGGGGAAAATTCATTCGCATAACGATTATTTCGCATAACGATGAGCCCTCTTGCACGGATTAAAATCGTTAACCGGGGGTCCACTGTATTTCATTTCATGCTCTCAAGAGCGGTACGTGCATCATCACTGTCCAGAATGCTACCCAAGCTCATGATCTTTCTCTCCTTTCGAATATTGATGCTGCTACTATCACAATTGAAAAACATCTTTCTCTCAATTCTTGTAATGGTACTGTCATTCTGCCCCATACCATAGTCCAACAGAATTTCCAGTCATGTGGCAATGACATTCTTGAACAGCTGGAACTCTAGGATCTCCCAATCCTCAAAGTAGACACTTATGTCCTTCCTGCCCGTGGGAGGAGACGTTACCCTTGCAATGTGGCTCGATTAACTTTTGACAGCCGAGAACTCCCGTCCTCTGTATACGTCGCGGGACATCGGTTACAAGTTTGAAAGGTAATACCTACACCTCAACAGTGTAGAAATTGCTGGCGTTTTGGTCACCCAGCAAAATGTTGCAGATCTATAGCCGAATGCCCAGTCTGTGGTGCCGATGACCATTCTAATACATCTTGCAGTCAACCTCCATCTTGCCTTAATTGTAATGAAGCTCGCCCTTCGTACTCCCGCCGTTGCCAGGTCTACTTAAATGAACGTGAAATCTGTTGCCTCAAAGAGGCAGAAGGTCTCCCTTATGCTATGGCAGTTACTCGTCTCCGCCTCCAAGGGGGACTACTCCATGTTTCTTATTCTCGTGTTTCAAAACATCCCCCCACTTCTGGGGTTCCATCTTCTGTAGCCTCCTCTGTTATTACCCCTCCCATAGCCACTCTGGCATCTAATCCTTTTGCTGTCCTTGGCTCTGACGTTCCGACTACGACTTGGTCTGTTCTCACATCTTCGCGTCCTTCCTCACAAACCCCAGTATCGACAAAACCTCGTACGACACCTTATACCAATCGCCCCTCTACTTCTCAGAAGTCCAAAAAATCCACATTGCTCAATTCTTCTTTGCTCCTTCCTTCCCTTCTTCCACCTCCACACTTTACCCTTCCAGTCTCTGTGCCTAGTTCTTCCCCTCTCTCTGGCTCTATTACAAGTGTGGAGGTTCACCCTCCTCCTCGTACTATGCCTTCCACCCCCGTCCCCTCCCAAGTTTCTCCCTCTTCTGCCACCTCCCAGGTTTCTGCCTCTTCTGTCTCCCCCCACACTTCATCTCCAGTCCCCTACACTCTTTCATCCCCCTCTACTTTGGTACAGTCCATTACTGTCCCAATCTTTACTCACCCTCCTCCTCCTACCTCCAATGTGGTCTCCCATACATCTTTGAATTCAGAAACACTTGAAGCCATTTCAGAATATATTGCAGAGACTAAACCTTCAATGGACACTGATTCACCTCCTGTTCCTTCTCTTCCCTCTCCTCCATCTTCAGAACCCCATTCTTCGCAACGCTCCGTTCCTTCGCTGCTTGAACGTCTTCCAATGCCACCACACGTTGACTTTTCTAACCCCTCTAGCCCGTAGGTGCCCTTCCCTACGGATACCTGGTATTTTCTTCATTGCCAATCATGGCCTATTTACAGTGGAATATCCGCGGCCTCAGGGGTAATCGGGGCGAGCTTCAGATGTTGCTTTCCAGGTTTTCCCGTTGGTGCTTGCTTACAAGAACCAAAATTACACTCGGCTGTTTTCCAACCTCTCTCAGGCTATAATTTATTGTATTCTTCGGATCCTTTCTCAGATGGGACCTTTAATGAAAGTCCCCTTCTACGCAATGATATTCCGTACTGTCAACTATTTGTCCATACCTCGCTGCATTACACTGCAGCCCGTATCCACTTGAATAACTGGTTTACAATATGTTCTTTATATCTCTCTCCTCGAGCATTTTCTATCCCAGATTTTGCCTTTCTAGTTTCATCCTTGCCACCACCACTTCTGTTACTTGGTGATTTTAATGATCACCATTTCCTCTGGGGGGGGGGGGGGGGTCTCATTGTGACTCCCCGTGGGATCCAGTTAAGGCTTTTCTTTTCCCCCCTCCCCCTCCCCCATGTTTTAAATACGGGTCTACTCTCTCCCACCATTTTTTATCCTCGCACTCATACATCTCTGCATCGATCTTCAGTCTGCTCTTCCTCCACTGCACTAGATTTACCCGGTCTGTTCTGCCGGATTTACAAAGACACGTTTTTTTTTTCCAACATTCTTACTTCTTCTATTCACCACTTTCGTAGCCCTCGCGGCAATTTTGATCGGGCCCAATTGGGCCTTTACTCCAAATCACTGCTTTTGAGAGGTTCCTTCTTCTTTCCCCCATTGATGAGCTCCTACAACCCTTCTCGACGTCAGTTTAAAACCGCAGCTTATCATTCTATAGCCCAAACCTCAGGCAAGCATTCTCAGAAGTGCGTGCGTTGGTGGTCTCCTGCTTGTGCTCGTGCAGTACGTTTGAAACGTGCTGCATGGGGCAGGTACTGATACAATAGAACCAATGAGAGACTTCTTGATTTTAAGCAGAAGCGTGCGATCGCTCGCCGTGTCATCCGTGATGCTAAATGCACTTGCTGGCGAGACTATGTTTCCACCATCACCTCTGCTTCCTCTATGAGTGCAGTCTGGAAAAAAGTGAGGAAATTGA